TCTTCCTCTTAGAAAGATAGCTTTGTGCGTTTTGTTTTAATCCAATGAGGCAACTGATTCTCGGAAGGAAAATATGAAGTAAAAAATAAGTAGGTACATGCAGAATCTTATTTTCATTCTTTAATTTCATGTACGAGTTTCATTCATTTATGACGACTATGCTTAGCAACGTATTTGTCAGCCTATTTTTTATCACACTTTTGCACAAGTTCATGCAAAAATATTCTTTTTTCAATACTGGCTAATGTAAGGTTTAAAAAAATACAGAATTGAGTAAAGTTCTGATGCGGTTTCACACTGTACAAGCAATATACACTTTATGTGATAATCAGTGTGTTCCTTATGCATTAAATGTATTAATATGCATGAAGCACATTAAAGCAATGATCAAAACGATCATTTAAATTACTGTACAAGTGGGGAATTTCTGTTTATACATTTATTATAATTATTTACAATTATTTATACTTTATAATATATATTCTCTTTATGCATCTCTTATAATTATTTCTGCTTCTACATTTATTACAAAACATGTATACATTTCTCGTTTATATGTCTTTTACATTTATACGTCGTTTCAACACGGTCTCGAAACAATCTCACTTATTTTAATAATAAAATATTTCTTTTATACGTGGCGCAACTTCGGTTTTGTTTTACTTTTAGCCGTCTTATTTGACTTACTGCACTGGTTTTGCTTTTTTCAGTTCCATCTTTCAAGTATTTTGCCAGAAATGGGGATAGGAGAAGGATGCAAAGGCATGAAACATCACAATCTGGTACAGAAGTTGAAAACCAATTTATGAATAGAAAGCAAACTTGAAAGGAACAGTAGAGACAGTTTCTATCTTCTGAACAGGACGCTATATTAACACTTTGTTGCATACAAATAATCTAGAGAAGTTAAACGAAAATGTTTGTACTTTTTTACTTAAAATAGCCTTAGTAATAATTACAAAAATTAATTTTATTTAAATTTCGTTTTAAATAATTCCTACAGTTTGTTCATTACAGTGGACAGCATGCATATACGTACATGCATACAAATCTCTTCCCAACGATCTACGGTCATTGCATTTGAAATCATTTCCTGCCTGTTTGCATTGATCATTACCATCTTCTAAATGTAAATCTACAACTGACATGTACATACAGATCCCCAAAATACCTTCATTTCGTTGATTGTGATTGAATTCATTTTGCTACGATTTTGTAACCTGTACCAATTGGATTCAAATGTCAAATGTTCTAGAAATTCCTTGCCAAACATAAAAATTTCCAGAGGTGTTTTGACTTCATAAGGAGTACATTTGGGTTTCAATTCACTCTTTTCACTCTTTTCATTAGATCTTTATCTACCCACTCCACAATTTTCTCAAACTGACATTTAAAATAAAATGTCTAAAATTACTAATTATGAATAAAAAATGGCAGTATAAGAAAATGTAAGTAATATTATATAATGTTTACTATGAGAAATTGTACTAACTTAGAAACAGAAGTAGCAGCCATTTTCCAGATAGCAATGCTTTACTTAGTGATGCTATACAGCCATCTATGATCGACAGTTGAAAGTTCTAATAATATAGAATGAATAAACACAGGAATGGAATTTGTTAAGGCATTTACAGAAGAATAAACAAATTGAAACTTTTGTCTATTAGCAGTCCCGGATCTAGGGGGGGGGTAAACCGGGGTCTGTGCCCCGGCGGCAACTTCTGAGGGCGGCAAATTCAGGAGTGGCGCTGAATTGTATTTGGAATGTTGTCAAATTTTGATCAACATTAGTAGTTTTAAAGCCAGGTTTAAAACCTCTTTTAAGAATATTTATAATTAATTACTCGAAACCTTTTAATGGAGCAAACAGTTTTAAAAGTAAGCTAAGTACAGCCGGACACGACTCTAAAGATAAGATCAGAGAGAGGACAATAGAGGGACTCCAGGCATCACTGAAAAAGTCAAAGGACCCTGTCCCTCTGCCAACCCAACATGTAATTCCATTACAAAGGTACTCCGTAAACGCCTTGGTCTTTGGTCCCTGTAAGTGACGTCCGCCTAGAGCAAAGAATCTATTAGGGCGAGTCAAATGAAAGTGAGCCAACCCCTCCTCAGCAAGAATGGTTCGGTCCATCATCTGCGGCGCATGCGCGTATCACAGAGACAGCCTTCATTTACGAAAGTGGCACGAAAGTGTGAGGTTAAAGTTCTTTAAGGCGCTCTTACACTGGGTTGAAGACGGTAGCGTGACATAATGGACGCTCCAAAAGAGGAACAGCATGGTGTGGTCAGGTTTTTGACAGCTGAAGGTGTTTCCCAACATGAAATTAGTCGCCGTATGACTGCTGTGTACGGTGAACATTGCATCGCATTGGCCACTGTGAAGCGTTGGGGAGCAAACGGTTCAGAGAAGGACGTGAAAGTTGCAAAGACGATCCAAGACCGGGCCAAAGCCACCTTGCAATCACCCCCGACACAATTGCACAAGTTGATGAGCTGATTAGACAAGAACGGAGGATAAGCATCGATGAACTGGCAGAGCGTGTGAACATCAGTCACGGTTCGGTTCACACCATAATTCATGATCATCTCGGTTTTCGGCTTTTTGTTTGTGTGCTCAATGGATGCCCAAGATTTGAACGACCGCCAGAAGACGGAGAGGTTCGGCGTTGCTTTGACTCATCTCATCCGGTATCACAAATGAGGGTGATGACTTCTTGTCTGCAATTGTGACCGGAGACGAATCATGGTGCCAACACTACGAACCTGAAACACGCCGGCAAAGCTTACAGTGGAAACATTTGAATTCACCACCCCCCCCGAAGAAAGCAAAGGCTGTCATTTCCTCGGGAAAGGTGCTATTGACTTTTCTTTTTTCGATCGTCAGGGGCCATTACTGATTGAATTTGCTAAACGTGGAGTATTTGCTAAACTATCAATAGTTCGCGATATTGTGCAACGCTGGATCGGCTGCGTGTCGCAATCAAGAACAAACGACCTGGAAGATTGACGAATGGTGTGATCTTGCTACACGACAATGCTCGTCCCCACGTCGCTGATGTGGTTAAGACACAACTGGCAAAGTTCAAGTGGGACACGCTGCAACATCCTCCATACAGCCCAGATTTGTCGCCATGCGACTTTCACATTTTCGGAAAACTGAAAAAACATCTCAAGGGTACCAGATTCGTGTCGGACGACGCCGTGAAGGAGTCGGTTACAGACTTTTTGAATCGACAGCCCAAGGAGTTTTATGAGACGGGGATCACGCGGCTCATTTGTCAATGGCATAAATGTCTCAATGTTCATGGAGACTACCTTTAAATAAAGTAATCTGTTTGTCATATATTCGCATTGGCTCACTTTCATTTGACTCGCCCTTATATATATATTTTCCTTCAACTTCTTTGCCTAGAGTCTCTCTGTTGTCACCTCTCCTGGCGGGAATATTCAAATGTGTGGGTGTGATTATGGCAAAGCCTCGAGGGCTATCTGCCTAAGGGAAGGGATGCCTTCGTGGAGGACTTTCTAAAGGAAACTGGCTCGTATACACGTTACACATGGGGAAAACCACGAAAACGCCCATGCAGTCAGCCCGTTCGCGGGAATATTCAAATGAAAAACAGAAAGATAGTATACAGGCGCCTTGTTTTTATACCCACGCCTCTTGCAAAATAAATGGAGAAGCATGTAAAATGTATCTTTACTAACACAATACAATTACCTTGGACCATGAATATCATATTATGTACGTCCAGGGCCGGATTAAGGGTGTCGTAGGCCCTAGGCACTCCAGCAGCGTAGGCCCCGAAATAATAAACATTTTTTAACTGAAATTGACCGCTAATATTAAGTAATAATTTTGTTGTAGATATAAATCCGAAAATGTGATGATGCGGTAAAATAACATTATTTTATTTTGGGATTTTAATGTTTTTATTTTTCATAGAGCCATTTTCAATAGCCATAATTCCAGAATTGAGTTTATCTGCAACAATGCAACTTTTATATCTACCAAATTCCATGCAGAATTCCAGGGTTTTAGTACATGAACATGACAAGACATTAGCCGCCGGGAAAACCTCTCGGACGGGCACATGCGTTTGACACAGTTGGCCACGTTTCCATGCCCACTACTACCAAACGCTTGCGCGCGATCGAGAGGTTTTCCCTGCTGCTAAGGTCTTTTGTTTTAGTAGCTCAGTTGTGTAATAAGTTAATATGTAAACACTACGATAGAGCGTGTATGCCTGTGCTTGTATTTAATCACGCTCAACCCCAAGTCAATCTTTAGTTTAAAAACTGGAAGTTAAATTTATTATAAGTAAGGTAAGTAAAGGAAAGTTGTTTTTATACTCTACTTATTTCAACCTAGTTTTTGATTCTGGAATATTGCTTCATTCCATTATAAATAATAGAATTTTCATTTTATCACTTCTTCTTATTAGTATAATAGTCCGCCGTAGAATGCAGCACAATGCAAGGAACTTTGAGTAGGCCTACTATGGGGTGGTTTGGCCATACTATTGTAAAAAATCTCCAGTAGTAGTCGTAGAAATAGTACAGTCCAAATCACCTTTGGAATAGCTTAATTTTAATCCATACTCGTAAATCCGGGTTTCGTTTTTACAAGTTTAAAATGCATTACTTAACAAATTTAAAATAACTTTTTAGCTTTCTGATAGCATAATAAAAGCGACGGGCGCAAACTAAAATGTATATTTAAAGGTGACGAGAAGAAGGAGAAAACAAGTTTAAATTTTAGTTTGTGCGTGCCCATCGCTTTTATTATGGTATATCAGAAAGTTAAAAAATTATTTTAAACTTTTAAGCGCAATTTATAAAAGCTTTTTTTAAATATTTTTTTTTAGCGAAAAATGTCTGATGGATATAAAAGAAAACACCAAAGTGGACATGAAAAACGCAAAAAGAAAGAGAAAGTGAGTGAGTCGCTTAGTAAAATTAAAGGTTCTTTATTGAAATATGTTAACATTTCTAAGGAGACAGAAGATAATGCAGATGCGGTAGATATTTCCTCGATCGAGGTTAGACCTAAAGAAGCTGAGGCTTGTTGGGACTCGCAAGAATGTTCAACCAATAAAACTGAGAATGTCACAGAAGACGAGGCTGACGGGGGTTTACGAAATTTTAACGACGCTTCCAAGCAGGTGGTGCCTGAATCACTACCAACAACATCAGCCTCAAGTATTTTCAGTTCTGATCCAGCACGGTGGACAACCATAAGCGCAGATCTTATCGATTACTTCTCTCGTAATCACCCTGTGCAGAAATTGGATATAAATTTTAAGTTATACGCCACTAAATTTGGCGAAATAATGAGATGTCCATCACAAGATTATTTTTTCAGAAAACTGAACAACAATGATATTATAAAAAGGGACTGGTTGATATTTTCCGAATCTACTGGCAAGTTTTTTTTGTTATAAATGTATTTTGTTCAAATCGGACCTACCTGGAAATCCAAACCTGTGTAACCAATTCCTTACAGGCTTTAATGACTGGAAAAACGCACATTCGAGAATTTCAAGTCATGAAGTGTCAAAAGAACATTTTGCATCTATTTCTGCTTTAGTGAACTACCAACAAACTAGAAAAATTGATGAGACGTTTGATATTGTCAAGGAAAAAGAAAGCACATATTGGACAACGGTTTTAAGAAGAGTAGTGGAAGTAATTAAGTTTTTGGCCGAAAGGGGACTAGCGTTTAGAGGCGATAATGAAATACATGGTGATCCTAGTAATGGCAATTTTCTTGGGTGTATCGATCTCTTAGCCAAATTTGATCCGTTTCTAGAAGAACATGTAAGAAGATACGGTAATCCAGGCCGCGGAAAAGTATCATATTTATCCTCCACAACGTATGAAGAACTAATAATTTTACTGGGGTCAAAAGTATTGGAAAAAATAGTTACAGAAATCAAAGAAGCCAAGTATTATGGAATCACTGTGGATTCTACACCTGACGTTAGCCATACGGATCAACTCTCCATAGTTATTAGATATGTCTCAAAAACTGGAGATATATATGAAAGATTTTTGATGTTTGTTAAAATAGAAAAACATGATGCCAAGTATCTTTTTGACACTCTAATTTCAGTTTTAGAAAATCAGGGAATAGACCCAAAATTTTGCAGATGTCAGTCTTATGACAATGCGGCTAATATGAGCGGAGTGTATTCGGGAGTACAAACTAGATTTAGGGAAATCAACAGCGCGCAGCCACTTGGGTACCATGTGGAGCTCATAGTCTTAATCTAGTTGGCACAGCGGCGGCAGAAAGCTGCTTAGAAGCTGTAAAATTTTTTGAAATTTTGCAATCGCTCTACAATTTCTTTCTTTGCAGCGTCCCCTCAAAGATGGTCTAAACTAAGGTCTTTGGGAAGTAAAATTTCTGTAAAAAGACTTTCAGAGACCAGATGGTCAGCACGTTATGAGGCTGTAAAAACATTATGTGCCCATTATGATGATATACGTGGTATTCTTACAAATATTTCAACTAGTGAAGGTATGAAACCTACAACAGTGATTGAGGCACAAACCTTAATCCATCAAATGAATACTTTGGAGATGGTATTACTCACAGTTATTTGGGAAGATCTACTAAAACACGTCGATATTGTAAATAAATCTCTTCAAGAACCTGGCATCGAGTTTAACACGATGGTGCGACTTTACGACAGTTTAATTCAATATTTATCTCACTGCAGAACTGAGGACATGTATAATAGCTATTATCTTAAGGCAAAAGCCCTTGCACCAGATTCAGAATTTAAAGAATCCGAAACTAGAGTTCGTAAGAGAAAACGACAGTTCGATGAAGGGCCAGATGAGACTCCCTCTCGCAGTGCCAAAGATTCCTTTAAGATTAATGTTTTTTTTATTGTTCTGGATGTGCTTTGCGCTGAAATGACAAAGAGACGCACTGCGTATACCAGCCTTTATGACACATTTAGTTTTCTTACGGATAATACACTGACCGAGGACATTATCAAGGTTAAGGCTCAAGCTCTGGTAAAAATGTATCCGTCTGACTTAGAAGAAAACTTTGTTGATGAGTATTTGATTTTTTCAAATTTGTACCCCAAAACCACCTCTATAACGGATCTCATCAAATTACAAATAAAGGATAAACTTGTGTCAAGTTTCCCAAATGTTAATATTGCATTGCGCATATACCTTTCGATATTGGGTTCGAATGCAGAAGGAGAAAGATCATTCTCCAAGTTGAAGCTTATAAAAAATTTTATGCGTTCAACTATGGGTCAAGAGAGAACTTCGTCACTGGGCCTTCTGTGTATTGAAAGTGATGTCGCTCGCGGCATTAATTTTGAAGATATAATACACGAATTCGCTGTGTCAAAATCCCGAAAAAAGGAGTTATTTTAGGATCTACTTAGTAAACCAAACGTTTTGTATTCGTATTTTTTGTGTATTTGTATTTACATATATTATTTTGACCTTCACTATATAATAATATAAAAATGTTTATAAGTTTTTGGGGTATTTTTATTTCAATATATTTTTTTTCAAAGCCCTAAGACCTTTGGCCTTCGTAGGCCCTAGGCACGTGCCTACTGTGC